TGATAGATTGCTTTAACCTAGAAGCTGGGTCTGACCTCAGGAACGTTCTTCATGGTTCCTTTGAACAGTCAGGAGCTTCAGCTGTCCGTTAATCATAGATCTAAATGAGTTAGATCACTTTAGAAGGACCACAGGGTCCGATCTTTCGTAGCAGCAGGAGAACGGTTGTTAAAATCCATTAGATGAGCAGAACAACACCACGACGCCAACAACACCAGGAGCATGTGGCAAGGCATACGGGCGATCACAGACTACAACACGCCCCCTGCCCCGGTGGATGAAGTTGATGCTGACTTCCTAAACGGACTAAATAACTTCTTTGGGAGGTTTGAGGCACTAAATCGCACTCCAGCAGTGAAGGCTGTCCCACATCAGGAAGAGGAGGTTCTCTGCCTTGACACAGCCGACGTGTGGAAGACTCTGAGGAGGGTCAACCCGCGGAAGGCCCCAGGTCCCGACAACATACCTGGGCGGGTGCTCAAGGAGTGTGCAGGTCAGCTAGCTGGTGTCCTCACGGACATTTTTAACACCTCGCTGGAGCAAGCCACAGTGCCAGCATGCTTCAAGTCTGCCTCCATCATCCCAGTGCCAAAGAAACCTCAAGTCACCTGCTACAACGACTACCGGCCCGTCGCACTGACTCCCATCATGATGAAGTGCTTTGAAAGGCTGGTAAAGGAACACATCGTCTCCAGTCTCCCCCCAACACTCGACCCGTTCCAGTTTGCCTACCGGCGAAACCGCTCCACTGAGGACGCCATCTCCTCTGCTCTTCACCTGAGCCTGGCCCACCTGGAGGAGAAGAACACCCACGTGCGGATGCTGTTCCTGGACTTCAGTTCAGCGTTTAACACCATCATCCCACAGCACCTGGTGGGAAAGCTGGAACATCTGGGCTTCAACACACCCCTTCGAAACTGGCTGCTGGACTTCCTCACCAACAGACCTCAGTCAGTCCGGGTCGGTCAGAACACCTCTGATGTCATCACCCTCAGCACGGGCTCCCCTCAGGGCTGCGTCCTGAGCCCCCTGCTGTTCACCCTGATGACATATGACTGCGTCCCCAGGTTCACCACCAATCACATCGTGAAGTTTGCGGACGACACCACGGTGGTGGGCCTCATCAGGGACGACAACGACCGGGACTACAGAGAGGAGGTGGAGCAGCTGGTGGACTGGTGCAGTGAAAACAGTCTGATCCTGAACGTGGAGAAGACGAAGGAGATCATCGTCGACTTCAGGAAAAACCGCCCCCACCATGCTCCACTGCTCATCAACAGCTCAGCTGTGGAGGTGGTCAGCAGCACAAAGTTCCTGGGGGTGCACATCACGGACAACCTCACCTGGACTGTAAACACTTCATCTCTAGTGAAGAGGGCACAGAAGCGCTTGTACTTTCTGCGGAGGATGAGGAGAGCCCGCCTGCCCCCGCCCATCCTCACAACCTTCTACAGAAGCACCATAGAGAGCGTTCTGACCAGCTGTCTCTCTCTGTGGTGTGGAGGCTGCAGAGCTTCTGACTGGAAGAATGTGAGGAGGGTGGTGAGGACAGCGGAAGGAATCATTGGGGCTCCTCTTCCCTCCATTAAGGACATTTCATCACAGCGCTGTGTGTCCCGAGCCCGTAATATCATCAAAGACCCCTCACACCCCCACCATGGACTGTTCTCCCTGCTGCCCTCTGGAAAGAGGTTCCGCAGCATCCGCTGCAGATCCACCAGGTTGTGCAACAGCTTCTTCCCCACTGCCATCAGACTGTTGAACCTTTGATCCACAATCCGAACTCTGCACCTATTGCACATTATCGGGCATCAAATGCTGCTGAACTTTTAACTTTTAGCCCTTTAAATTGTTCATCTCATTGTATTTTTCAATAACGCATTTTTTGCACAAATGCCATTTTGCACTGAACCACTGCAACTTGCACACTGTCTCTTATCCTCTGCACTGTTCACACTTTGACCACTGCTGCACTTTTTGTATTTTTCTATAACTCGTGCCATTGTGAAATATCAATGCAACGTTCATAAGCTGTATGTAACGCAATTTCGTTCTGTATGCACCCTGTGCATACAAAATGACAAATAAAGAAGTCTAAGTCTAAGTCTAAGTCTAAGAAGACCTCATGTTCTTCTACGATTTCAAAATATCAGGTAGGAAGCCAGTCAGAGCGAGAAGTTACTCCATGATCACCGAGCATCCAGCTAAAGGTTCCTCAGAGGTCAGATCTTAGAGGTCAGATCTCAGAGGTCAGATCTCAGAGGTCAGATCTCAAAGGTCAGATCTCAGAGGTCAGATCTGTGGAGATATCAGGAGAGGAACCATCATGAAGAAGTGCTTTTCTATCTGGAGGTTCCTGGTTCTTCAGGGACCCAGAACCTGTCAGGATCCGTCAGTCTCAGTCTGAAACATCACCTCTACCAGAGGAGGTTCTGCTGGTTCTCTGGACTGGACCGGTTCCTGTGAAAGTTCCGGTTCTGATGGTTCTCTCAACTAAAGGGAGGCCGACCTCCAACCTGTCTGGACCCGCCCACTTCACACCTGTAACCACCTGCTGCTGTGGTGGAACCATCCCAGCAGAACCTGAGGAGCAACAGACACGTTCAGACCCGTCTGCTGCCTCTACTGGAGGACAACCTGTCAGAGCTTCAAGGACATCCAGCCTATGACATCATCAGAGAGGAACCAGGAACCAGAGAGGAAAACTAGAACAGAAGCAGAGACCAGGAGGGGAGGAGAACATCTGATGGAGCAGAAACCAGACAGTGGTTCAGATTGAGGAGGAGATGTTCAGCTGGGGCTGAGATTATAATCCAGACTAAAGTTTAGTTTCTAGTTTGTGGAACCAGAGTTTACCAAAACCACATCAAAGACTCAGACTGACAGACAGGAACTAGTGGTCAGGAGATCATGTGATGTTTCTGCATGAAACAAGCTCAGACTATAGAACTAGAACCCCCTAGAAGCAGAAGTTAGATTCTGCTGATTCCAGCTGAGTGGGACTAAAGCTGCTCTGATCCAACAGTTCAAAGAGCAGCCAGCTGGCCCCCTGTTAGCGTGAGTCAGATCTACATCTGAAGGTCTATGTCAGGATCTAGAACCACGTAGAGCAGAATGGTCTGGTGATTTAATGTGGGTAAACATTGCAGCAGGACAGGGAGTGTTTGATTGACTTTCTATTGTTTGAAGAGAGAAATAATGACCGTCTGGTTCCTCTATTTCTGTTTCTGTTCAGACCAGAACCACAGAAACCAGATCTGAGAGCTGGAATATTAAAGGAATCTATCATAGAAAACTATGCAGACAGAACCAGGTTTAACTAATGAACAGAACCGGGTTTAACTAATGAACAGAACCGGGTTTACCTAATCAACAGAACCGGGTTTAACTAATGAACAGAACCGGGTTTAATCAACAGAACCGGGTTTACCTAATGAACAGAACCGGGTTTACCTAATGAACAGAACCGGGTTTAACTAATGAACAGAACCGGGTTTACCTAATGAACAGAACCGGGTTTAACTAATGAACAGAACCGGGTGTACCTAATGAACAGAACCGGGTTTAACTAATGAACAGAGCCGGGTTTAATCAACAGAACCGGGTTTAACTAATGAACAGAACCGGGTTTAATCAACAGAACCGGGTTTAACTAATGAACAGAACCGGGTTTAATCAACAGAACCGGGTTTAACTAATGAACAGAACCGGGTGTACCTAATGAACAGAACCGGGTTTAACTAATGAACAGAACCGGGTGTACCTAATGAACAGAACCGGGTTTAACTAATGAACAGAACCGGGTTTAACCAACAGAACCGGGTTTAACTAATGAACAGAACGGGTCTTTATTATTGAACAGAACCTGCATTCTTCAGGTTTGATTGCTGGTTTTAAGTTAAACATTGATTAGATGTTAAGCCAGTCAGAACCTGCAGAGAACAGAGGACCCAGATCCCCCTGGACCTGCCAGAGGCCTGTTAGACTGGTTGTAAAAGAAAGTAAACACTGAATGTGACTGTAACGCTCAGGTTTAAACAAACAATGAGGGCGGGGTCAATACGACGGCTGAAGCACCAAACACAGGAGGCCAAGAATACCTGAATGGAGATCAGGTTCCTGTGGAGGTTAAAGGTTCTGGTGTGATGGAGATTTGAGCAAGACAATGATCCACATCTACTCAGGCGTTCATGCAGAGTGTTCTGGAACAGCCGTCCCATCTCCAGACCTGAAGATGATTGAACATCTGTGGGATGATGTGAAGCAGGCTGTCCGTGCTCGGCCACCATCACACTGAACTGGAAGAACGGTCAGAAATCCCTTCATCCAGGATCCAGGAACTCATTCCACGCTGCAGGAAGCCACTAGAGGCTGTTGCTTCTGCTAAAGGAGGATCTACTAAATATCAACGTCTCTGTTTTGCTAAGGTGGCCGTATTCCTGCACCTGTCATGTTTTGTTTTAATGCATATTGCACATTTTCTGTTAGTCCATTAAACCTCAATTAAATTTTTAAAAACACGATGCAAAGGGCATTGCTGTGGAAGTTCCTACATGGGTTAAACTCAAACAATATTTACGTTCTATTAAAGTTTCCACTCAGGAAAAGGTAAAAATCCCATTTAGGATAGTTTATAGCCTAACAATAGTTTAATCTCTTTGGTTTATTAATTTAACATTCCTCTTTAATCATTAATTATTTTATTTTAATGTATTTTTTTAATGCGGTCTTTGCAGATTCGTCTTTTGTTGTATTTTGTCTGTTTTGTTTTTTTTATCTACAAGCTAAAACTTTGAAGAAGCGACTTTCATTGGTGAGGAGCTGGGAACAGCGCCCCTAGTGGTCAGATCCGGTCAGTCTGGAACACGAACAAAGAGCGGAAACAAAAAAAAAAAATCTTTAAAATGCTGCGATTTTTATTATATTTGCTGGATGTGAGGATTTAGACCTTCATCGTTATTAAATGTGAGTTTAAAACCTCTGAAGCTTTTAATCAGCTCGTTCGCTGTGACGTCCCTTCCGGTGCGCCGCCATTAGCTAACCAGGGTGCGGTAAGCATTGTGTCGCATTTCCTGATTCTAGGTTTAAAGTCCTTTTTTGGGCATTTTTAACTTTTGTTCAGACTCCAGGAGGCCGAGATGCTTCAGATCATAAGGTTTGTTCTTCTGGTTCACTTTCTGAAGCTAATTCTAATTCTAATAGATCTGCAGGGTGGGGACTATAAATAGGATAGGAGTTTAATCTTTTATTACTGTTTTGCACAATATGTTTAACTATTTTTTTTTGTTGAATATTAGAGATTTTGCAGATATATTTTTTATACATACATTGTTTAGATTTACTTATATATTTCTACCCCTTTAATAGAATAGAAAATCCCTTTATTGTCCCACAATGGGCAGATTTACAGACAAATGAGGACCTTAGAAAAATTTATAAGAATAACATAATAGGGAAGAGTTAAAATATAAACAATAAAATCCTGTAAAGTGTTTTAACAATATAAAACTGGAGAATAAATAACCAATATGCAGCTATGGACCTTTTTACAGTAATTAGAAACTAGCAGCAACATCAGAGATGTGCAGAATGACAGCAGCAGGTTATTTAACTGACTAAGATTTCTATCATTACATTTGATTGGTTCCTGCTCCCGCTGGTTGGAACCTTTATTCCACTCATCAAGTCCAGGTTCTCCTAGAATGGGTTCCTGGTGGTTCCTCTGGACCAGAACCTTCAGGATAATTGTTGTGTTTTTCTTCCAGAACTCTGCTGTGGATGGTTCTGCTCTCCCTCTCAGAGTCAGGTAGGTCTCCATCTGGACCGGTTCCTCACAGCAGAACCTGTAGAACCTCCACAGGTTCTCAGGGCTTGATGCATGAATCTATAAATGTAGATCTAGATCAGGATGATGATCTTCTCTGATGGTTCTTCATTGTTTCTCTCAGTGACCAGAGGACTGGATGTTACTGGAGAAGTTGGTGGAAACGTCCTCCTGCCCTGCAGCTTTAAGGATCCCGTCCCACTGAACGTCTTCTGGAGAATCAATGGTGATGTTGTGTTTGACATCATCAATAGCAAACCCACTGAACCCGCTGACCAACATGAGAGGTTCAAAGGTCGAGTGTCCAGCAAGGACGAGTGGAACAAAGAAGGAAACTTCTTCATCAGGCTGGAGAATCTAACCCAGCAGCATCATGGGACATACAGATGCATTGAACCCGTCAGGGACGCCACAGTGGAGGTCAGACTGGAGGTCTCAGGTCAGTATTCAGGTCAGCAGTTCATCAAGCTGTTGCTCAGCTGAAGGCTTTTAACTACAGTTTGTGGACTTCCTGATAGTAAAGAATTACAATAGTCCAGCCTTGAAGTAACAAATGCATGGACTAGTTTCTCAGCATCACCCCTGGACAGGAGATTGCTCATTTTTGCAATGTTCCTCAGATGAAAGAAGGAAATTCTAGAAACCTCTTTGATCTGGGATTTAAATGACAGGTCCTGATCAAAAATAACACCAAGATTTTTTACTTTATTATCTGAAATCAGTTTAATCCAAATGAAGTGACTGACTAATCAGCTTCTTTTTCAGAGACTCTGGTCCAAAGACTATAACTTCTGTTTTGTCTGCATTCAGAAGCAGAAAGTTAAGAGTCATCCAGGTTTTTCTGTCTTCAGACATGCCTGTAATCTATGTAATGGGTTAGCTTCATCTGGATTATAGACAGATATAGCTGGGTATCATCAGCATAACAGTGGAAATTAATCCCATGCTGTCTAATAACTCTACCGATTGGGAGCATGTATAAAGTAAAGAGAATTGGTCCTAGCACTGATCCCTGTGGTACTCCACAGGTAACCTTTGAACGTGTTGAAGATCTGTCATTAACATGAACAAACTGAATTCGATCAGATAGATAGGATTTAAACCAGTCTAGAGCTGTTCCTTTAATTCCAACAAAATATTCAAGTCTTTCTAAAAGAATATTATGATCAACTGGATCAAATGCAGCACTAAGATCCAACAGGACGAGCACAGATACAAGTCCATTATCTGAGGCCATGAGAATATCATTAGTGACTTTCACCAGAGCTGTTTCAGTGCTATGATGAGCTCTAAAGCCAGACTGAAACTCTTCAAAAAGTTCATTATGGTGGAAGTGATCGCACACTTGTTTGGCAACTACTTTCTCAAGAATTTTAGATCAGAAAAGGAAGATTGGATATAGGTCTATAATTGACCAAGTCATCTGGGTCAAGAGACGGTTTCTTAAGCAGAGGTTTAATTCCTTAGACTTAGGGTTACAGAGTGTAACTAAGCAGTGAAATGAACATTTCCATTAATGTGCAATTACTATTTAATACGCTGTGCAATAACTAAATATATATACCAGAAGGAACAATAGCAGACATTGAGGACAGCTACAAGTACCTTGGAATCCATCAAGCAAATGGCAACCTCGAAGAGGTAACAAGGAAAGCGACTACGACTAAATACCTCCAACGAGTCAGGCAGGTCCTAAGGAGCCAGATCAATGGCAAGAATAAGTTTCAGGCAATAAATAGCTAAACTCTACCTGTAATCAGGTACCCTGCAGGGATAATAAGCTGGCCAAAGGAGGAGGTACAGGCCACAGATGTTAAGACAAGAAAGCTCCTAACTGTCACAAGGCTCAGAAATGAAGGACTCAAATGCAAGACCTGACACAGTGATTAAAACTCAAAGTTCTTTTAATTCAGTCCAGGGTTGAACAACAAAAAATCCAGCAGAAACAGAAGTATCAAAAAGCAGAGGCAAAGCAGGTCCAAATCCAAGCAGGGGTCAAAACACAAGAAAGCTAAATCTAACAGGCAAAAAGGCTGGAACGCTAAGCTCAAAAGACTAAGACGAAGTGGCAAAGGGAATCTGCAAGGGTGGGAACTAAATACTCTAACAAACAAAAGAGGAGCACATACACCAGGTGAATTGCATTAGGTTGTGGCAGATCCTGATTGCAGGAAGGAACTCAGGAAGTGAAGCTGCGGATAAGAGCAAGGGCAGAAGGAACACTGACCTCTTTCTCTAGGGCAGGAAACAGAGGAGGTTGGTAGCCATGCACGCAGTGAAACGGAGACAGACCAGTGGAGGAACAGGGTAGGGTGTTGTGGGCAAACTCTACCCACATAAGCTGTTTACTCCAGGAAGAAGGACACCTTGAAGCCAGGATGCGCAGGCCAGTCTCTAATTCCTGAATAGCCGTTCAGACTGGCCGTTGGTTTGAGGATGGTAACCTGATGAGAGACTGGTAGATGCTCCTAACAGGGAACAAAATGCCTTCCAAAATTGGGAAATAAACTGCGGACCCCTATCAGACACAATGTCAGCTGGAAAACCATGAATCCTGAACACTTCAGACATCAAAACCTCAGCAGTCTCCTTAGCTGTAGGCAACTTAGCAAGAGGGATGAAGTGAGCCATCTTAGAAAACCTGTCGACCACAGTGAGAATGGTGGTATTACCTTCAGAATTGGGTAGTCCAGTAACAAAATCGAGAGAGATGTGAGACCAAGGTCGAGTGGGGATTCGTAGTGGCTGCAATAGCCCAGCAGAGCGGGTGTTGGAAGGCTTGTGCTGGGCGCAGACCGGACAGGCCGCGACATACTCAGCGACATCTCTCCTCATTGTTGACCACCAGAACCGCTGCCGTATGACAAACAGCGTACGTTCGACCCCTGGGTGACAGGAAAAACTGGAAGCATGTGCCCAATGGATGACCTGGGACCTAAGCTCTGGAGAAACAAAAAGTCTGTTTGGAGGACATCCATCTGGAGGCTGAACCCCAGCTGCTGCTTGCTTGACCCTCTCCTCCACGCTCCAAATCAGTGCTCCCACAACACATGAAGATAGAATTATATGAGAAGGGGCCTCAGGAGGGGAGGAGGTGAGGCCATGCAAGCGAGACAGAGCATCTGGTTTGGCATTCTTGGAACCTGGTCGATATGACACAGTAAAGTTAAAACGATTAAAAAACAAGGCCCACCTGGCTTGAGGGGGGTTCAGTCTCTTGGCCCTCCGAAGGTATTCCAGGTTCTTGTGATCTGTCCAAACGATGAATGGGAGTTCAGCCCCCTCCAGCCAGTGACGCCACTCCTCTAGTGCCACCTTAATGGCCAACAATTCCCGATCCCCAATATCATAGTTTCTCTCACTGGCAGATAGTTTTCGAGAGAGGAAGGCACATGGGTGAATCCGGTTATCCCCTACTGAGCGCTGAGAGAGAACTGCCCCCACTCCAGAGTCTGAGGCATCCACCTCGACCAAAAACTGAAGTTGAGGATCTGGTATGGTGAGAACCGGGGCAGAGGTGAACCTGTTTTTTAGTTTCTGGAAGGCATAATCCGCCTGAGAAGACCACTGAAACTTAGAGGTAGGAGAGGTCAAGGCATGCAGGGATGCTGCGATGGTGCTAAAGTCTCTTATGAACTTCCTATAGAAATTTGCAAACCCCAAAAACCTCTGTACCTCCTTTCTAGAAGTTGGGACGGGCCAGTCCCTAACGGCCTCCACCTTGGCTGGATCCATCTGCATCTCCCCTTGACCCACGATGAAACCAAGGAAGGACACCCTGGGAACATGGAAGTCACACTTCTCTGCTTTTACGTAGAGCTTGTGTAGAAGAAGACGCTGGAGAACCTTTCGAACATGTGCGATGTGGGACTGCTCATCAGGCGAGAAGATCAGAATATCATCCAAGTAAACGAAAACATATTTGTTGAGCATGTCCCGAAGCACGTCATTTATTAGGGCCTGAAAAACAGCTGGGGCATTAGTGAGTCCAAAAGGCATCACAAGGTACTCATAATGTCCACTAGGGGTATTAAAAGCAGTCTTCCACTCATCCCCCTCTCTAATCCTCACCAGATGATAAGCATTCCTTAAGTCCAACTTAGTAAAAATTTTTGCACCTTGCAAAATTTCAAAAGCTGAAGAGATGAGAAGAAGAGGGTACCTGTTCTTTATGGTGATGTCATTGAGTCCTCGATAGTCGATACATGGCCGCAGGGACTTATCCTTTTTGGCGACGAAGAAGAAACCAGCACCCGCAGGGGAAGAGGATGGTCGAATGATTCCAGATTTGAGGGCTGAGTCCACATAATCTTTCATAGCCTGCTGTTCTGGTAGGGACAATGAATAAAGACGTCCCTTGGGTGGTGCAGTTCCAGGAAGTAAATCAATAGCGCAGTCATAGGGCCGATGAGGGGGCAACGAAGTGGCCAGAGACTTGCTGAACACTTCCTTGAGGTTGTGGTAGCAGGTGGGAACCTTGGATAACTCAGGAATATCAGGGTCTAAGTCCTTAGAAGTAGATTGGGTTAATACAGGGGAAAAACATTTTCAGAACTAAGTTGGTTCAGGACACAATTGCAGTTCCACGACAGAATAGAACCTGTGGACCAATCAATGTTAGGGTTATGCTGAACTAGCCAGGGATGGCCTAGTATTACAGGATGCTCCGGGAAGTCTGCTAGAAGAAACGAAATCATCTCAGAATGGTGGTCAGGGAATGTAATCTTGACAGGTTGGGTGTGGTGGGACACTGAGCACAAATGACGTCCATCCAGAGCCGTGGCCTTCAGAGGTTCCTTAAGGGGAACAACCCTTAGGTTTAACTGTTCTGCAAAGCGAGCATCCATTAGGTTAGCATCAGCACCAGAGTCAATAAGAACCTTTAGTTCAATATTCTGCTCAGAAGTGGTGAGCAAAATAGTAGGACAGACACGTTTGGGACTGACTGAAGAGGATGAACAACTCACCAGGGTTGGTTTCTTCTTAGGATTTCTCCTATTATTTGGGCAGGAGGAGACTCGGTGGCCTGACTGACCACAATACAGGCACAATCCCTCCCGAAAACGGCGTTGGCGCTCCTCAGGAGGGAGACGGGTCCGGCCAAGTTCCATGGGTACCTCAGACGAAACTGGTGGATCAAAAGACAAAGAGGGAGCAGGCTCTGGAGCGAGGGGTCGCCAGGAAGTAGCCCCTGTAGCAGCATTATTTCTGAGTGAAAAG